AAAGGAGAAACCAAGGTTGATGACTTGGCTTCTCCTCTTTTATTTTATTTTTTAATTTCACATTCTAATTTCTATAAACATCGATTATCATTTATGTTTGCATTTAACACAATCTTTTCATTTTCCCTAACTCTTCTTCATAAATTGTTATAATTCAATCTCTTTTTTTCCATCTCCATCACTTGATTTGTTTTTCATTTCATTTTTCTTCATCTCTATCACTTGATTTGTTTTTCATTTTATAAATTGTTATTTTTCACCAAATCTATTTTCAAGTTTATTTCGAGAAGACCAATTCAGGTATGCGTTCCTTTCTATTTTTGTTGTGATTTTAGAATTTTGTTTTTTTTTTTACTTTTCTCTTCTATGATTTTCCTAAGTTTTCTCAATGAAACGAAAAGTTTGTTTTTTACAACACTTTTAGATTTTTCATGGTAACAGTGGTTCGATTAATCGTCTGATGATAGAATCTTGAAAGTATTACAAACCATGAAGTAGCCTCAACAAATTTCAACATATTTTTGTAATGGTTATCTTTTTCAAGTATACTTTGAGAAAACTAATTTGTGTATGCTTTCCTTTTGACTTTTATTGAGAATTTTGAAGTTTTTTTGTTACAATTTTTCATGTAGCATCACCAAACTTCAATATGCCCTTTTTAATGGTTATATTTTTTTTTCAGGTTTATTTCGAGACGATTAATCTGAGTATGCAATTCTTCTTAATTTTGTTAGGATTTTAGAGGTTTTCTTTAACTAATGTCTTATACATTTTTCTTAAGTTTTTTTTTCCTCAATAGAACCAACAATATGTTTTTAACAATTGTTTTAGAGTTTGGTTGACAACAACTACTCCTCATGGAATATTGAGAAACCAAGTTTAATGAAAAACCATTTTTCATATTTATCTTTTATTTTTTCATTCTTATTTTACATTAAAATGTTTTCAACATACAATTGTTGAAACTTTTTTTTTTTAAATTCTATTTATTTTTAAAATATTTTCAACCGCATTAATCGTTAAAAGATTTCATTTTTGTAATTTAAATAATATATATATATAT